TACCCGGGGACCGGCAGGCGCTACTTCTCCCAGCGCTGCACGGAGCGATAGCGAAGCGCAACGCTGCACAGATAAGACCATTACTGACTTCAATATATTAGGCGGTATTGAGTTAGGTTTGTTAGTTTTGGTTTGCTTTGTTTTATTTTTCTAAGCCGCTTGCTTCAAATATAATTGCATCATTTCTAACTTCATTTATTGGGTTAGGTTTTGTTAGGTTAGGTTTGCTTCATTTTCTTTTTAAAAAAACAATTTGCTTGAAAGATAACGTCATTACTGTTCCCTCTGCATTGAATTAGGTTTGTTAGTTTAGGTTACGTTAGGTTGGCCCGCAATCGACACACTTCACGCGGGCCGCCCGGTGACGGGCGCAATCGACCTAACGCCTGCCGGAGCGAGGGTAGGCAACCCGTCGGTCATGGACGTCCGCAGTTGTCACACTCGGCCGCCCGGTCGGCCGGCCGCGTTCGAGGAGCGCGCCCTCCCGCGCGCGATGTCCGCAGTTGTCACTCCTGACCCTCGGGACCCAGGTCATGTCCGCAGTCGTCCTAACGCCGGTAAAACCCCCTCGGCCGTCAATGAGGACGCCGCCAATGAGGACGCCGTCAATGAGGACGCTATGAATTTAGGAAAACGCTGCGCATGAGAACGCCGTCACTAGAAGCACGCCGTCAGTGCCAGGGCGCCCGTCGATGGGATGCGCCGGGGTGCGCGGGCCCCGGGGGTCCTTGGCTGGCGCGCACATCCGCGGGGGACGGAGCGCGCGGCGCTACAAGGAGCCACTCCGCCGTGATTTCCGGCCGAGTCGCCGCCGGATACCGATTTGGCGTGGCGGCCGCAGGAAGCGGCTCGTGTGTTGAGGAGACGCCTGGACCGAGGAAAGGCGAGAAAGCAAGGATAAAACTAGCAACACCTTGACGCGCGGACACGGATACACACATACACACTCGGGCACACAAGTACGTCCATCCGTACGTTCGTAACCTCCCTATTCGCGCCCTCGACATTTATGGGATGACTTTGAACTGCGTTCAGTTTTTCATAAAACGTCTCATGAAACCTGCCCCCCCCCCTCTCTCTTCCCATTTTCCTTCCGCTGATATACAAGCACGCAGACACACACACACACACACACCTAAACAACGCGTTAATTGAGTGGCGGATATGCAAATTCGTGGCAGGGATTTTACATAAATGCTGCGGCCATGCAATATGTTACCAATAGTAAAGCAGGCTAAGTTTGCAAAAGTCAACAGGAATTTCAGAAACGCCATTCAAGTGCTTCGTCAACTTATTTATCATGGTGCTTAGGGATCGTTTTAAGAATGCAGAGAGTAAACCATTCCCCCTTGTAATAACAATAATTCACATATGTTTCAGTGTGACTGTAAAGCTTTATTCTGCAACGAACACTAAGATCACTATAATGAACCGTAATAAGAAAGCATGAAACAAAAGGATACATGTAGTTTACATATGAAAGATCGCACCTGTCATGGGCTTAAGACAACTAAATTCGAGTAGGTAAATTATTTTCATGGTAATAGTATCAAACTTAAGGCGCTACAGTTAGACTGGGTGCAAAGCAGGTGCTTACGCAGTACATTACAAACTTTTCATGGCACAAAGTACACCCAAAGCGTCTGTCTCCCGTGTGCCTCCTTTGATGGTCCTTCTGAATTGAAGATAAAGAGTACTTCTTTTTCCATTTGGCACACTCGAATCATTTCTCTCCTTGGTGTACCACAAGAATGTGCCGCTTCAAGTTTGGAGATAAAGAGAACTTCATGTGGCACAAAGAGCATTCAAATGGCTTCTCCCCAGTGTGCGTTCGCAGGTGCTGACGCATATTGCCAACAGTTGAGAACGTTTTGTCACACATGGTGCACTTGTGTGGTTTGTAAACGTATCCCGTGTGACTTATCCAGTGCAGACGCAGCCGATAGGTGTTTGGGAACTTTTTGTCGCACAGTGAACACCCAAATGGCTTCTCTGTCTTCTCCCCCGTATGGATTTTCAAGTGTGCACGATGTGTGCATGAAGCAGCAAACCTTTTGCCACAGACATTACACTCGTACGGTCTCTCTCCCGTGTGCGTCCGCAGGTGAGAACGCAATGAGTTAGAAGTAGTCAACTTCTTATGGCAGACGGTACACTCGAAGGGTTTTTCTCCAGTGTGGGTTCGCATGTGGCAGCGCAACGAGTCCTCTCTGGAGAACGTCTTGTCACAGAGGGTGCACTTACAGGACTTGCGGGGCCGCTGTCGTAGGTGGATGAAAAGGTGGCTGTACAACGCCGCTCGGTGTTCGTACTTCTTGTCGCACAGGGTGCACCTGAATGGTCTAGTGTCGGTGTGCAGGTGCATACTCGATGCGCTGGAGGACCCCTCTTCATTGTCGCCCCTAGACCTCTCTCCAGAGTGAGTGCACAGATGTCCTCGCAATGCTTCGTCAGAATTAAAAATCTTGTCACACAGGGTACATTGGAATTCTGTTTCCACTGAGTGGAAACACACGAAGTGCGCGCGTAGACTGCTAGACGTAGAGAACTTTTTCCCACATACAGTACACTCGTATGGTTTTTCTCCCGTGTGGGATCGCAGGTGTAAACGCAAATCGACAGAAGTACAGAAGTTCTTCTGGCAGACGGCACACTCGAAGGGTTTTTCTTCAGTGTGGATTCGCATGTAGTGGTTGCGCAAGGCGGATGGTGTGCAGAACTTCTTGTCACAGAGGGTGCACGCACAGGACCGCTCTCCGGTGTGGGCAAGTAGATGTCTACGCAACGAAGACGATGATCTGAGCTTCTTGTCACACAGTGTGCACGCAAATGGCTTCTCTCCCGTGTGGGTTAGATTGTGAATTTTCAGAGAACCAGACGTTGTGAACCACTTGTGGCACAACGGGCACTCGAAGTTCCTCTCTTTGGTGTGAGTGACCAAATGCGAACGGAGTTCTCCTGCCGTTCGAAACGCTTTGCTGCAAGCGGTGCACTCGAAGGGTTTGTCTTCTGTATGAAAGAGTTCGTGACTCCTCAAATTACTAGAGCACTTGAACTTCTTGTCACATAATTTGCACTCAAAGGGTCTCTCACCCGTGTGTGTGTTCAGATGTCGCTTGAGTGCGCCGGCTCCTGCAAACTTCTTGTCGCAGAAAGTGCAGTCGAAAGGCTTGTTCGGTTTGTATCCTTCGTGGTCGCGCCGGAAGTGCTGTGTCATCTGGATCTTCACAGTAAACTTCTTTCCGCACACGCTGCACTCGAATGGTTTCTCTCCCGTGTGCGTGCGCTGGTGGCCCTGCAAATGAGCAAATAGACGAAACTTCTTGGGGCACATGGTGCACTCGAACGGTTTCTCTCCAGTGTGTGTACGCAAGTGCACACGTAGATTGCCCTGACAAGAGAACTTTTTGTCGCACATGCTACAGTCGAAGGGTTTCTCCCCTGTATGGGTCCGCAGGTGTAAATGCAATTCAAATGATGTAGCGAACTTCTTGTCGCAGAATGTGCAATCGAGGGGTTTCTCTCCAGTGTGTGCACGCATGTGCTGACGTAGACCGCCGGCATCAGAGAACTTCTTACTGCACAACGTGCAATCGAACGGTTTTTCTTCTGAGGGATTGTGGTGCTCAAGTCTCTTCAGGGCTGACATCGCGCTGGCGGGTTCGTTGAAGAGTAGAATGCTGGTTCACTGTAAAAAAGAAAGAAGCCGTTATTACCGAGTATTAAATTGTGAATGCACCCTGGTAACCATGTACATAGAGCTACATATATGTAAAATTTATTATTCACAAAAAGGGGGGGGGGTTGTCATCGGTACACCCACAACTACATAACACAGACTTGGAAATCACTAGTGACCAATGATAGGATTCAAATTTGTAAGCCATATGAGAGGTAAACTGGTTAGAATGCAAATTTGTAAGCCATATGACAGGTAAACTGGCAGGGACAGTAAATTGGGGGGGGGGGAGCAACCAAGTAGCGGTCTAAAAAGAATCAGGACGGTCATCGGAGTCCAATATGAGACCACATGATATTTGTACCGCGGCGTACAAATATCATGGGGCCTCCAATGACGATCCG